ACTTCAAGCAAACTGAATAAAAGTACAAATGCCAAAAGCTCCTCCACATTTGTTTTGTTGTAGTTTGTATTGTTCACTGTTGCCAGAAGAGGAGTTTGATCTGACAGATTGAATTAAAAAAGGCAAAAATAGCAAAAATATTTAGCAATTAAATTAATATTCAATTAAWTTAAAATGGGTGAAAAAATGTGTTTAGACAATGTGTTTGTACTAAAGTGTTTCGGGGGGGTGATAGGAAAACAAGTTTTTGTCGCTGCATCTCAGTCTTACGGGAGGGGTTTCTGATGATGTGAGCTGTAATTTCATTTCTTGCRTCTTTGGATCATCCTTGACTGAATCAGCACAAAACTAAACTTTATGAAGTTATCAYAAAAAATTTCTTCTACCTCCAGATTTGTAGAATATGTTTTTATTCTGATTACCAATTAGAGCACCAAGTGACAACCAGAAAAACTAGATATTTCCTTTTTTCAATCCTTACATATTTATTAGGGATGCACCGATATGAAAATTTCAGCCGATATCGATATCCGATATAATTACTGGTGTTATGGCCAATAACCGATATTTAACAATATTACACAAACATACAAATTATAGTATACATATCCGCAAAAACACACTTGGGTGTTTTTTTGATACGTAAATAAACAACCAGACCTCTGACATGGCTCCCTACTTCAGTTATTCCTGGTTATGCAGCATCAGTATCACTATCATGATCAAACAGATGCTGCTCAACCAACCGTCTCACCTCCCAAAACAGAAACACAAAGATAAAAAKTGGGAAGTCAATATCGGACATTAATATCGGTCCCGTTTTACATATCGGACCGATACCGATATTCTAAAAAATGACCAATATTGGCCGATACCGATATCATTACAGATATATCATGCATCCCTAATATTTATTTGAATATAGTATATTTTGATATAATAAGCGTGCAATGTGTTTTACTGATGGATTATGTTTGGACTGTATATTCAATATATTGGCATATTTGTGATTTTTTTTTTATAGCCTCAAGTCCAAAATAAACTTACCCAAGAATGTGTATTAGGTAAATCATAATATATTACATTACACTGAACTGTACTACAGGATATCACATTATACTACATTGTGTTACAGTGTAATGTATTATGTTATACTATATTATATGGTTTGCATTAGGGTTGGGCAAAATCCTATTGTGTGCAATTCATCATCAGAAAATTTGTCACCAATGAATATTTGCCACTTTGAAGTTACTGCGATTAGTGCCGTGTGATGATGTATTTGTGGGTGCACATGTGAGCCTGTGGCATATTGCATTAGAAAAGATCTGCTGCCACTCAWCAGTGTGGAAAAGGTGGGTTTCAATTCACAGCTTACTATTTTTACCTGTTAAAATGAAGAGGATAGTTCAACTGATGATACGTAAGTATAATTTTAGACTGATCTAGAGCCAAAACATGTAAGTTATCAACTTAATGCCACAATTTTGTGATTCATTTTTAGCCAATATTTCCCAACCCCTAGTTTGTATTRTGTTACATTTCAATGTATAACATTGTATGAAGAAGAAGATAGTTCAATTAATTAYGGCATAGAATTGTGGCATTTAGCCAATAACAATCAATATGCATCTTATTGCATATTGTATAGTATTGTATTGTGCTACAATRGGTAATACTGTAGCACAGGTCGTATTCATCAGCATTTAGAAAATGTCCAAAGCTTCATGAGGTTGTTCTTTGCATCAATCGAACACCAATGAGGTCATGTGCCTTGTTTTAAGTTTAGAGCTAAGCATAGGGTTGGGCATAATCGTATCGTGTGCAATTAGTCGTCAGAAAAACATTAATCGATTATTTTTTGGCACTTGACGATTAATACGATTAATGCCACCAGGCAGACTGGTAATTTCCATGTTCGGTCTGGTTGGTGATCCTCTCCACTTCAAATATGACAAACATAAAAAAAAATTGAAATTGATTTATCTATCAACACAATTTAAAATTTGATGTATAGCCCGAAGTCTGTAATTTTGACAATTTGGAACAGATTTTTATGAAGAGCAAATCTTTCCCACTAAATTGGTCATGAGACCAGGACATAAGGGTGTTCAGGGACTCCAGGGGATTAATCGCCAAATTAATCGTTATCGGCCAAATACCACAATTAATCCTGATTAATTTTTTTGCCAATATCGCCCAACCCTAACTAAGCAATCATTTTCATGAACGTTGCCACCAACTAGTATATATGGATATGCTTTAAATGGCCTACCTTGACACTGGAATCCCTGCTTGCCAAACCCCCTGGAGAGAGAACAGCAAGAGTGAGCAATTTACACACTGTATGCACACACTGGCACAACTCTTTGACTTAAGATATTATTGTGGAGTCTAACATTGAACGACTGCCATTTCAGTGACAAAGGAGAGCATTATAAACACACACACACACACACACACACACACACACACACACACACACACACACAC